ATCCCCAGGACCTGTGCATATCTGACCTTACATGGCAAAAGGGACTTTGCAGATGTGACTAGGGTTAAGGACCTTGAGATGGGGAGATTATGAGTCCTTAAAAGCAGCAGACCTTTTCTGGCTGTGGTCACAGGGAGGTGACTACAGAAGAAGAGTCAGATGGAGCACTGCTGGCTTTGAAGGTGGAGGAAGGGGACCATGAGCCAAGGAACGGAGGCACCTCTAACAGCTGGAAAAGGCCAGCTTGGAGCCTCCAGAAAGCAGCACGTCCCTGCTCACACCTTGATTTTAGCCCAATGAAACCCATTTCAGACTTGTGATCTACAGAACTGAAAAGTAGTACATTTGTATTACATTAAGCCCCTAAGTTTATGGTCATTTGTTACAGCAGCAGTAGGGAACTAATAGAGTGACTATGGACCATGAACAGACAAAAGTGCATACTTTGTCTTGGAGGACTTTCAGGAGCACTGCTAGTTTGCTACTGAACCAGGAGGAGGAGATGTACTAGCTGTTGGAGAACAGGATTTAGATTTCCACATCTTGTTGTTTTTTTTTTTTTTAAATATTTATTTATTTATTTATTTTTCCCCCCCAGAGCCCCAGCAGATAGTTGCATGTCATAGTTGCACATCCTTCCAGTTGCCGTATGTGGGACGCGGCCCCAGCATGGCTGGAGAAGCGGTGCGTCGGCGCGCGCCCGGGATCCGAACTCGGGCCGCCAGCAGCGGAGCACACGCACCCAACCGCCAAGCCACGGGGCCGGCCCTCCACATCTTGTTTTTGCTAACTGAATGATAGGCTCCTACCAGGACAGCCACGATCAGAGAAGAACAGTAGGAACCCGTTAGTTTCCTAAATGTGAGGAGTAGAGTATCTGAAAGAGAAACACGCTGAGAAAAAGCACCACTGGACATTATAAAAGACAAATAGCGATTATACTTGGTGATTCTTAGGAAGAGGAAGAGATGAGCAGTGTTAAGAACAATACGCGTGGCCTCAGATATCTCCTCTCAAAATAAAAGAAATCTTGCAAATTACCTGTGATGAGATAGCTAAAAATATCGAATATTCCTTTTTGTCTTGTCCCCTACCGCACCTTCCCCACAGACTTATGCCACTTTTGCATGTATTCATTATCGTGTCTTTTTCCTACTGGACTCTTAAGACTTTTGAGGGTAAGGATTACATCTTACTCATCATTGTATTGCTAGCACTATGCATGCAGTGGGCACTTTAGATGGTCATTGAATGAATAAGTGAAGATTCATGAATGAATGAACATGAAGGAAAGGGTTGCATGACTTCTTTCTACCAGTGGAAAAACGACATTTCATTTCAGACACTGTCTGAAAGATGTGACCAAGTTGAACCAAACAAAATCATAAAAAAAAACTTTTAGAAACAAAATTATAGCCTCATCTCCCTAGTAAGTTAATCAGGGAAATGTAAATTATAACAACAATAAAATGCCCTCTCCCCCCTTTTTTTGGTCCATCAAATTGATAAACATTTTAAGATTGATTTTATCCAGTATTGGCATGAGATGAAGGACAGTCTCTAACACTGTGTGTCAAGTATGATTGGTATAGTTTTATTGGTGGACAATTTGGCTGTACTTAGCAAAATGTCACATTTTAAGTAGCTTTTGATCCAGCATGTCTGTTTCTGAGCAATGCTTCTACATATGTATGACGGCAGCTAGAAAGATCTTCATAGTGGTATTTTTGCATTTCCACTTCCCTTTCTGCCCCAAAACAAGGAAGTAAAAAAGAAAATAACTATCTACCAGTAGTAAAATGACTCTGCACACTGAGTGCTATGTTCCTGAAAAGGTGTAAGCATGATGCAGACACTGGCTTTTTTTGTTTTCAACCTTAAGAAGAATTCTTTCACTATAAATGTCTAACTTGAGAGTTTAATCAGGAAAATTGTATATTTCCAAAGCCTGAGATATGATATAAATGGATAAACAGAAATTTCAGAGTACCTAAGTATTATTTCCTATACCATAGGACCAGATTGTCATGAGCCTTTAGAACCAGGGTGAGAAATTTAAATTTAATTCAGCTACCGTTAGTGGCATATTATAAATCCTTGTCCTGTTATCTCCCTAGAGACAGTCACTTTTCTAAATGTATGCATTCCATAAATAATATAGACATGTACTAATGTATGTACATGTGTGTTATATGGAAATAGTAGCATTTCCATATGGTAGCATTGTAGCATTTCTTGAGTATGCATTCCTCACTAAATATTTAGTTCTCAAAATTCTTTGTTCAGTTGTCCAGAACCAAATATTTGGTTCTCAGAATTATTTAAATTACTGAGTATATGCATTCAGCATCAATTATTTAAGTACCTTGTATATTCATAATCATGGCTGCTATCCAAATTAAGTCAGGAGGTTTATAAGAGTCCTGGAGAATGAGAGATAGGACAGAACACAATGTGGAAGCATAATGAAAAAGCAAAAAATGAAATAAAAGGAGGGCCGGCCCCGTGGCTTAGCGGTTAAGTGCGTGCGCTCCGATGCAGGCTGCCCGGGTTCGGATCCCGGGCGCGCACAGACGCACTGCTTCTCCGGCCATGCTGAGGCCGCGTCCCACATACAGCAACTAGAAGAATGTGCAACTATGACTTAACAACTATAGCCTGGGGCTTTAGGGGAAAAATAAATTAAAAAAAAAAGAAAAGAAATGAAATATCTAGGCATTTATTGCTTAATTTTTTAGTGGAAAGTTGCAACCTTGTTTAGTCACGAGGTACTACAATATGGGAAATCTTTGTCACGCAAACCCAAAGTTGAAATCATTCTGGGAGTCTTCAGGCAATGTGATCAAGTAACTGACTAAAATTCCGTCTATTCCATAAAACTCCAAAACTCAGAACCTGCCTTTCCCCTAGTAAGCACCACAGTTCTGGACCAAGCCTCTCTAGCTGATGCTGCTTCTCTGCAGGTGGGTGCCCTGTGAGTTCAGAGGACATGTAACCTTTGCAAGGGGTCATCAGGGAAGGCACCCAGAGAAGGGGGGATTTCTCCTAGGGTGTGGTTGGCAAATGTAAGTGTAAGAAATGATTTGTGCACTGCCTTACCCTCTACGTCTGGGTGTGGAAGGATAGACCTCGTGCACTGAGACAGACAATTAGAGACCGACAGAGATGTGAATAATAGCCCTAACTACAGGGAGAGAGGTTGCTCTGGAACCTAGTAGCAGTGAGCTGTGGAGTAAAGAGGAGACGTGCTCAGACCTGGGCTGTAATGCAAGGGTAACTGGTGTTGGTGTGCGCTTGGTGAGCTGGCAGAGCTGGACAGGGAGACAAAGGCGCTTTTGTGGGAATTTGAAAGAGGTGCCAGCTCCCATCCTTTGCAGTTTAGGGATTTGTGTGTTGGCAAGGAGAAGCTGCAGAAGTCGCCTTTGAGAGAATTGCTAGAAAAAGATGTCCCTTCCTCTAGGCAGGTCTCTCACCCCAGAGCACAAGATTTGAAGACTGGAGCTCAGGCTGGGTTTCAGCTCCCACTGCCCCCTTGGCTGGGCACCGTCGTTCATGGTGGCCCTGTCAGATATTCCAGGCCTGGAATCCAAAAGCCAGAAAGGACAGTTTCTGCCTATCTCAGTTGCACCCAGAGTTCTGTAGGCTGCACACATCCTTCTGGTCCCGGTGGGAATTCATCATCTTTATGAAGCTGTCTTTGACTCTTCCAGCCAGGTCCTTTGTTCATACTTTCTCTCTGATGCCATATTTACTCCCCCGCCACCCTTCCAAGCTTGATACACAAACTTGTCCCACGAATTGAGTAATCTGAAAGGGAAGTCAGCCTCGTGCAGGTACCAGGAGCGCAGCACACGTCCTGCCCTTGGTGTGGACACACTGGGTCCTTGATGGTTTTTGTGTGTAGTACGTTATTATTTATCTTTTCTTATGGGAACACCCTTAATTGTATTATTGACAGCATCGTGCCATAATAAAGAAATACTTAGTGTGTGCAGGAACTTATGTGTCTTACATTACAAGTTATATGTGATAGCTTCAGTTAATTGCTAATTTTGAAAAACCATTGATTTTCTTCAATAGACAATATTGATTTTCTTTATTACACATTTTCACGTTAATATCAGCATCATTAAAAGTTTACTAATGGCCTAAAAGATTGGGAAGATGACAGTGGATTGTGAGTAGCACATCCTCATGTCAGGGCAGCACATGGTTTCTGTCATTTTCCCAAATGAGTCTTCCATCTTTACTGCCTATTTTCAAACATATATGCACAGGACTTCCACACCCGTGCAGGCACAGGGCAAGAATCAGTTCTAATGCTTCCCTGTCTCTAGGGAGAAAGCCTTCTCTAAGGAGTCTTCCCCGATGCCCTCCTCCAAAGGTTACTTTCATCTCCTCTAAACTCACAGGGCACACATGTTAGAAGCATTAGATTGGGGGCTATTGTAGATTGCTGCGTATTAATGTATAGAGAGCAAATAGCAGATTGGTTAGGCCCGACTTCAAATAACTTTTCATATATCATCAGTATCATCAGAAACATGGCCTTAATTGTACATTCCTAAATATGTGTTTTTAAAAAATGATGTTAAGGTTGCAGCCCATTCTCAAACAATATGCTGTCCTTGGTTCAGAAAGTATAACCCCTCCTTGGGTCTAGTCCTCAGCAAGTGATGCCCAAAGAGTGGCTGGTATGCTTTGATAAGTTTTGGGGATGATGCAAAGGTGGAGCTGCAGAATTGTATTCTACATTTCCATGCCTCGTTTATCAATAAAGAAAAGGGAAGAGCCTCTTTTTGTGTTTTTTTTTAAACTTTTCCTTGTTCATAAAAATACTGAAAAAAGATTCCTAAGTAATATGAAGTAATTTATTTAACTTGATACTCTTTTACCAAAGATTTCTGATAATTAACTAAAAGAAATGAATGTTGCATTAACTTTTAGCCTACAGTTTTTTTTTGTTTATAACAGTCATTTTTGTGGGGGGTATGTTTTAGGGCATCATTCAGAAGATAGTGGACAGTCACAAAGTAAAGCACGTGGCCTGCTATGGATTTCGCCTCAGTCACCTGCGGTCAGAGGAGGTTCACTGGCTCCATTTGGATATGGGTGTCTCCAATGTGAGGGAGAAGTATGAACTTGCACACCCACCAGAGGAGTGGAAGTAAGATTACAAACCTACTTTGGTGTGACTCGCACTTGATTTGTTTTGCATATTAAATCACGCACAAGAGGGTAAATGTCTACGCTTAATTTTCACACTGATTGTCAGTACAACTCCTGTATAACTAAAGTTGGCTGGTAATTATTAACCAGTGATCTCTTCTAGACTTCTGGTTAGTCTGTCTCTGGGGCACCATTGACTTTTGGTTGCTCGAGCCGTCTGATTCCGTTCTTTTGTGGGGGCCTTTTGTAGTCACGCTTCTCTTGTCAGTGCTGCTTTGTTTCCACCTCTGCTCTAGGAACTCAAGCCCTGATTCTTTTCCTTTCTGTTCTGTCAGCATCCTTTTGTCAGCAGGAGTTGATGTGCCCTGAGGAGACCACTCCTAATTACCTTGTTAGTGGGCTGCACAGATTGCAATATTGTGCCCAGGAATCCACAGCTCAACTAAAAAGAGTTGGTGTCTATTTGATATTCACATACAACATTAGAATTAGCAAGTGGCTTCTTAGTGATTTATATTGACCTTAATGAAACTGAAACCATTCAAAGTGAATTAAAAGAATTCCCTATAATTGTCCTTTTCCTGGTTCTCTCCTAACAACTTTTTCCACTATTAAGTAAACAAAATGTTTGTAGGAAATTGTACATCTAAAACACTTACATTTGAGAGAAGTATAACTTGTAAAAATGGGGTCTTCCACAGGGGTCCTCGTTTTTAAGATAATGCTGCAAAACTAAAGATGATTGTAGATTGGCGAGGACATTCAAATATCAGTAACTTTCAGTCCAAAGATCTAAATCACTTAAAGTAGACATTTTAAAAGAATAACAGACATGTTTAGGTGAATAAATCTTGTCTCAGTTATAGAGTTGATCAAAGAAATATAGTGTATTTTCAAATTTGTCAAATAGCTGGAACTGAGCTAACAGAATATTCCGTGAGCGTATAGTTTGACTGATTTACATCAGTGGCTAGTGAACATTTGATCTCCAACTACTGTATTTAGTTAATCAGATAATTGTCTAAAAACTAAGAATGTATAAAAGTTAGTTAAAAATACCTGCAGGTATTTTTATTTAACACAATTCTGTAATCTTCTTAACTTATATAGACATGTGAGAGCAACCATCATCATGGTATTCTCAGTGCTCAATAAAATGTGTGTTGAATGTAAATGAGTCTACAAGCTTTGTTTATGTTCTTTTGAGCCAGTTTATTTTACTTTATTTCAAGTAAAATTAAGTAGGCACTATTTTATTTAATGGAACATGAATCCTCAAATGTAAGAAAAATTTAGGCTGACCCTCCTCAAATGAAGGGTGATGGAGATGCTGGCAGCATTGGTGTATCGTCACCACTGAGCAGCTGCTGAGAGCCAGGCCCTGTGCCAGCTATTTGGTATTTATAATGTGAATATTTGTGAGATGTAAAATGTATATTTGGTTTACCCAAACTGTGTGAGGTAAAGACTGTTATTCCTATTTTTACAGATGAAAACAGAGGTGCAGTAAAATTAGTTTAAGTTGCATTCACATAGATAGTTTGTGACACAGCTTTGATTTGAATTGAGCTATCTGATTTTATAGTACGGGTTTTTTAAATCAACGTGCCTGTCTCAGTAGGAATAATCTTAAAAACTCGGAGAGTGTAGCTAGGCTTATGAGATCAGTGAAGGTTGCAGGGATAGCAGGTGGAGATGATGAAAGAACAAAATGTGATCAGAGGTCCAGCTGATACATGTGTGCTGTTTTCAAGAGTGTGAGGGTTGATACTGATAGTTCTTGACGTCAGTAAGAAACAGGAGACTATTAAAAGCAGATTTGAAAGAGAACCAAACAAGAGTTCTAGAAATCATTGGATAGATCAAACAGCAGATTAGACATAGCTGAAAAATTAGCAAACAAGAAGATGGGTCAGAGAAAATTTGTCTAAAACATAGCACAGAGATGAACAGATGAAAAATATGAGAGCAAGTTTATGTAACATGAATGAGAAGGTCAATCCATTTCTAATAGGAACGCTACAGGAAGAGGATAAAAAGAATGAGGAAGGGGAAATAATCTGAAAAGATAATGGCTGAGAGTTTTCTAGAATCAGTGAATGACATGAGTCCTTAAATACAAGGTTAACAGAAGATCCCAAACAGAGTTAATAACACTAAATTCACACTTTGGCAGATTATAGTAAAATAGTGTTGTACAAAAGAAAAAGAGATGGTGTTAAAAACAACCAGAGAAAAATTCAGACTTCTCCACAGCAATAATAGATGTCAAGAAAATAGTGGAGGGGCTGGCCCCGTGGCTTAGCGGTTAAGTGCACGCGCTCTGCTACTGGCGGCCGGGGTTCGGATCCTGGGCACTCACCGATGCACCACTTCTCCGGCCATGCTGAGGCCGCGTCCCACATACAGCAACTAGAAGAATGTGCAGCTATGACGTACAACTATCTACTGGGGCTTTGGGGGAAAAAAAGGAGGAGGATTGGCAATAGATGTTAGCTCAGAGCCGGTCTTCCTCAGCAAAAAGAGGAGGACTAGCATGGATGTTAGCTCAGGGCTGATCTTCCTCACAAAAAAAAAAAAAAGAAAGAAAATAGTGGAATAATGTGTGCATAGTGGTGAGAAAAAGTAACTGGCAACGTGTATTTGTTTGCCCAGTTAAATTACCGTTCAAGAACAGGATGACACAGAGACATTTTCCTTAGAGAGTTTACCACTCAAGGAAGCTCCTACAAATAAACCTCAGGAAGAAGGAAAATGATCTCTGAAGGAGGGTTCAGATGCAAGAAGGAATGCTAGCAAAAAAAACTGGGTAGATCTAAGTAAGCATGGGCTCCATAAAACAAAAATAATGATAAGAACTGAATTTTTATGTTAAAAAAGTTGAGCTCAATACTGGATGTATGTCAAGAGAGAGGTGGTCAGCTTAAAGTGCTGTCAGCTAGGCCTTAAGATTTTATATAGGGTAACAGCTAAAACATTAGAAGTAGATTTTGTAACTTAAACGGTAGATGGGTAAATAGGTATTAGAGAAATATAGCAACCAAATGAAGGCAAGAAATGGAGAGAAAGAAAGCATGGGAAAATAGGATAAATAGCAGTCACAAATAAGATTTTAGAAATGAATGCGAGTATACTAACAGTAAATGGTTAGAGATTGTTAGAGTGTGATTAAAAAATAAATTCCAGCTATCTGCTGTTTATAAGAGGTATCTAAAACAGTGATGTTCAAACATTTTTCTTTGACTTACAGGAAGAAATATAGTTTACCTTAAGATCCAGTGCACACGTACATGTATGTATATCGCAGTCCACCTGTCTGCAGTGTCTGACGCACTCAGTCACGGCTTTCTATCTACATCCTTTCTTCACTTAGCTTCCTGGTAAAGTGTTTCCTCCTGCTTTACTGACCATTCACAGTCTGTCTTCTCCTCCTTAGCCATTAAATTTTGGGCTGCTCAAGTGACCTCTTTTCCTGTCTTTCTACTCTCCCTAGACCTACCTTTGGCATTAAATTCATACTTTAATTGGATAGACACAGGGAAACCAGTAAACAAGTTATTGCAGTAACCCGGGCAGAAATCATGAAAGGTGGTGGACTGAGGAAGTAGTCATAGAAGGAGTGAGCAGCAGATGTATAGGGATATGTCTTTAAGAGAGAGCTCATAGAATTTGCTGATGGATCTTTTAAAATGTAAACATCCAGTGAAACGTGTAAATCATTCCTGCTCAGAAACTTCCGGGAGGTCCTCGTGGCACCTGGAGCCACCTCCAGACTTTGTAATTCTCTGTGTCTGCGTCTCCTGCTGTTCTTCCCCTTCCTCCACTCTAGCGACTTTAGTCCCTTTGAAATTTCAGTTTTCTATTTTTACAGGTACTCAGGTTGGGATCTCGTTTGATAGTCTCTTCTCTATTGCCAGCTTTTTTGCTTTTTAATAATATAGTCCTCCATCTCACTTCTCTTTTTGCCATTATCTTTTCAGACTTTTCACTTGCATGGCCCTAGCCGCACTGGCCCTCTTACTGGTTCTTGAACAGGCCAAGCATGTTGCTCCCCGGGGCCTTTGAACTTGGTGTGACTCTGCTGAGCATGCTCCTCTGCCATTTCCAGCATGTCTGGACTGCCCTTCATTTAGGGCAAGTGCTGCACTGTCACCTCTTTCCTGTAGCTTTCTCTGACCGTTCTATCTGCAGAGCCCACTGCCTACTTGACATGATCTTTCTTCCTCAGGGACTTGGTCTTACTCACTGCTCTATTTCTGGTTTCTAGCCGTGCCTGGTATATGGTAAGCAACCAATAAAGAATTTTAAGTGAAAATTGAATCAGTGAAAATGAAATTGTAAAATAAGCCAAGAGGCAAAATAATATGATGAGTAGTAACTTGTATTCAACTAGGAACCGAACAGTACTAGTTCATGTTGATAACAACATTCCCACATTAACACATGTGGCTTGCTATGTGTTGCTTACTAAGTGCTTAATGTCTAAGCACTTGACTTATTTTATCAAAATGGATTCATATTATGATAGTCTTATCAAGTAGGTACTCTTCTTTTGCCATTTTACTCCTGAGAAGGCTGTAGTTTAGAGAGGTTTAATAGCATTCCTGAGGTCATACAGCTTAGATGGGTGGCAGAGTGGAAATTGAGTTCATGCACTCACCTGTTTCTTCTCTACTCCTGTGTTAGATATGTAGCTATAAGAAACAGAACATTTGATAATCTGTTTTCTCTCACTAGCAGACATTGTCTCTCAGTTCGGAGGTGGGTATGTGAAGGCAACTACAGTTCTGAGAATTAAGATATTAATATTCAAATGAAAGTGCCAGGACTTATCCAAATAATTGGATATCAATTTCTGTTCCTATGAGACTTTGTAACAGATTTTTTTTTCATGCTCTCTGCTATAGGATCTGTTCATTTTGTTAAATAAACCTGAGATAGAAACTTGTTCACTTGAGTCTTCAGTTCTTCAAACACCTCAGTAAGCTAGTTTGCAGT